TTAAAAAAAATAAAAATAAAAATTTATTTGGGTTTAATTGACATATAACATTATATTAGTTTCAGGTATACAACATAATGACTTGATATTTATATATACTGTAAAATGATCACCACAAATCTAGTTACTATCCATTGCCTTACATAAATATTTTTGTGTGTGAGGAAAACTTTAAGATTTACTCTTAGCAACTTCCAAATATACAATATATCATTAACTACAGGCACCATGCTGTACATTACAGCCCCATGATTTATTTTATAGCTGGAAGTTTGTACTTGTTGATTCCTTCACCCATTTTGCATGCCCACAACCCTCCTCCTCTGGCAACCATCAATCTGTTCTCTGTATCCATGAGCTTAGTATTTTTTTATATTGATGGTATTTTGTTTTTTATATTCCACAAATAAATGAGATCATATGGTATTTGTCTTTCCGACTTATTTCACTTAGCATAATGACCTCAAGGTCCATTCATGTTGTAGCAAATGGCAAGATTTCCTTCTTTCTTTTATGACCGAATAATCTCTCACTGTTTGTATGTATATATATGTATATGTATATATACCCCATTTTCCTTATCCATTCATCCATCAATAGACAGGTTCTTTCAATATCTTGGCTATTGTAAATAACGCTGCAATGAACATGGGGGTGCATATTATCTTTTTCAGTTAGTGTTTTCATTTCCTTCAGATAAATACCCAGAAGTGGAATTTTTGGATAGTTCTATTTTAATTTTTTGAGGAACCTCCATAGTGTTTTCCATAGTGGCTGTACCAATTTACATTCCCAAGAACAGTGTACAAGCGGTCCCTTTTCTCCACATCCTTACCAACACTTATTTCTTGTCTTTTTGATAAGTCATTCTAATGGGTGTGAGGTGATACTGTGATTTTGGTTTGCATTTCCCTCAAGATTAGTGATTTTGAGCACATTGTTATGCATGTGCTGGTCACCTGTATGTCTTCTTTGGAAAAATGTCTGTTCAGATCCTCTATTCATTTTTTAATCAGTTTTTTGCTATTGTGTTGTATGAGTTCTTTATATATTTTGAATATTAGTACCTTATCAGATATATGACTTGTAAATATTTTCTCCCATTTAGTAAGTTGCCTTTTCATTTTATTGATGGTTTCCTTTGCTGTGAAGAATCTTTTTAGTTTGATGTAGTACAAGTTGTTTATTTTTGCTTTGGCTACCTTTCCTTTTGGTGTATACAAAAAATCACCAAGACCCATGTCAAGGAGTTACTGCTTGTGTTTTCTTCCAGGAGTTTTATGGTTTCAGGTCTTACATTCAAATCTTTGATCCATTTTGAATTAATTTTTATATATGGTGTAAGATATAATCCAGTTTCATTCTTTTGCATGTGGCTGCCCAGTTTTCCCAACACTATTTATTGAAGAGACTGTCCTTTTGCCAGCATATATTCTTAGCTCGTCTGTCATAAATTAATTGACCATACATGCATGGGTTTATTTCTGGGCTTTCTATTCTGTTCCACTGATCTACATGTCTATTTTTATGCCAATACCATACTGTTTTGACTATTTTTTTTTTAAGATTTTGTTTATTTATTTACAGAGAGAGACACAGCGATAGAGGGAGCACAAGCAGGGGGAGTGGGAGAGGGAGAAGCAGGCTTCCCGCTGAGCAGGGAGCCCGATGTGGGGCTCGATCCCAGGATCCTGGGATCAGGACCTGAGCCGAAGGCAGACGCTTAACGACTGAGCCACCCAGGCGCCCCTGACTAATTTTCTTCTTGATAGCTGGACATGATATACTATGTAAAAGAGACTGCTATAAATAGGCCTTTAGTAATGTGGTAGTAAAGTGTGAAGGGAGGGGAAGTGTTCTGAAGCCCTAGGATTAGGTCTTAGTCTTTTAGTGACCTTATGACTCTAGATTGTAAATTTCACAAGTGTTTCTCAGTTTTGTTCTTCTCCTCCTTTTGGTATGGGAGAGGATGGATAGACTGGGCTGGAGTTGGGTATTTCCTTTTTTCCATGTGGAAGACTAGAGTTAACTGGAATTGGGTACTTTCCTTTCTCCTAGGTCAGTTAGGCTGGTGATATCCTAGCTGATTAGGCCCTGGTTAACTAGTTTTCCTGAGGGCAGGCCTTCTTACAAAAAAACCAGAATGCTCTGGCATATTTCAAAAGCTCCTGATGACAGAAGTATGAGGGGATTTTCTTTCTCTATATTTATTGTGAGAATCAGGTTGAACACCTGAAGGTAAATGCCACAGAATTCTGGGGGGCCTTCCTATGACTGGGCCTCTCTGAAATTTTTAACTTTCAGAGCTGTCCACACTGAGTTTCCAGCAATACCTCAATTCCAGTTCCAGTTTTGAGTTTCTGCTCCTATAAGCTGTGACTCCCTATATTTGCCTGATTCTAATCTCTGGAGCAGTGGTTTACCTTGTATACTCCCTCTGTTATGGATTCGAGAAGAGTTGTTGATTTTTCACTTTGTTAGCTTTTTACTTGTTAGAATAATGTGGCAACTTCCAAGCTCCTTACAATTGCAACCAGAACCCAGGAGTCCTCAACAGCCTGTCTTTGAAATGCTTTATGTATTTATGATAATTCAACTTCTAAATTTAGTAATAAGGAATGTCAATAAGTATTTCTTTTGCCCCAATGTAATGAAATTAACATATCACTGTTTAATTGGGTTGGTTTGGCAATCAACATTTTAAAAAATGAAACAGAACTGACTGAAAGGTATCTGAGTACATCACAGGTTGTTAGGGTGAGTACAGTTTAAGATAATATTTCTTTTTTTTTAAGATTTTATTTTTAAGTAATCTCTACACCCAACATGGGGCTCAAACTCACAACCCTGAAATCAAGATCTGCATGCTTCACCAGCTGAGCCACCCAGGTGCCCCTAATGTAATATTTCTTTTTCTTTTTTTAAAGATTTTATTTATTTAATAATAAAAAAATAAAGATTTTATTTATTTGACAGAGAGAGAAACAGCAAGAGAGGGAATACAAGCAGGGGGAGTGGGAGAGGGAGAAGCAGACCTCCCGCAGAGCGGGGAGCCCGTTGCGGGGCTCGATCCCAGGACCCTGAGATCATGACCTGAGCCGAAGGCAGACGCTTAACGACTGAGCCACCCATGCGCCCCTGTGATATTTCTTAATGCAGATCATAGGATAAATTTTGAAAGGTATCAGGTTAAGGAATGAAAAATTTAGGGGCGCCTGGGTGGCACAATCAGTCAAGTGGCTGCCTTCGGCTCAGGTCATGATCCCAGGGTCCTGGGATCGAGCCCTGTGTTGGGCTCCCTGCTCAGCAGGAGCCTGCTTCTCCTTCTCCCTCTGCCTGCCGCTCTACCTACTTGTGCTCTCTGTCTCTGTCAAATAAGAAAAATCTTAAAAAAAAGAAAAAAGAAAAATTGATTGTGTATACTTGAAATGTAAAATAACCTTAGGAAAAAAAAAGTAATGATTAAAATATCAAAGTACTTTTAAATAAAATTTTAAAACAGAGATCTTTGTGTGAGAAAAAATAAAGTTCACCACCATCTTATTTACTTGGATCCTATATATGTAAAGTTCATGAATTATGATGACTTAATACAAATTGGATTTTAGTTTACTTTTATATTAAAAAGAAAAGGGGTTACCTGAACAATTCAAATGTATGTGAAACCTGACTCATTTGCATATAAATATATGAATCTTTAAGTATCCTTATGCTTAATACTGAAAATCTGAAACCATTTTACTTCTATTAAAATCAGTTAAAGCCAATCCAGCCGGAGAAGCACATGACTTAGATTGGAAATTTAGGAATCTGATGAATGGATATGAATTCCAGCATCACTACCCACCGATATTGACCTTGGTGACCTTGGGCATGTCACTGGATCTAAATGTTAATTTTCTTATTAGTAAAATGGGAATAACCTACTTCTATGATAGTTGGAAACAAATTATAAAAATATGAATGCACACATGTCAAAGAAGCTTAAAAACCTAAAGTGCTATGTAATTGTTAGGTATCATCATCAAGTGGGTAATAAAATTCTTGTTCAAGTAGAAACAAAAGACTTTTCTTAATTTTTCCTCCCCTCCTAAAACTAAAAGTCTCAAGTGCTAAATGTCTTATGAAGTACTTTATCAATTTCATTGCTTTACTTAAGTCACTGTAAATGGAGGTATTTTCATCTATATTTTTATATACAGAGTTTTTTGAAAATATACAATTCTTTCTGAAGATTTTGTAGGAAACTCAAGTGAGTACTATCTCAGTATTCTGGAAAGGTAAATTAACTTATTGTTAAAGGGTAAACTAGCTGGGCTGTAAACAAATTTGCTATGGAAATATATAACATATTGAAAAACAAGTTGTTTTACTTAATACTATATGTACAAATAGGGCTGCCAATTACAAATAAGTGGTACCATTAAAGTACCAGAGGCCAGATCCCTACCTGGAAATGTTTTTTGGTTATTCAAGTTAATAAATATACTTGAAGATAAAAATTCTTATTTTTTAACACACTGCATTTTTAAAAAGATTTTATTTATTTGAGAGAGAGGGAGAGAGCGAGCATGAAGAGGGGGCGAGGACAGAGGGAGAAGGAGAAGCAGACTCCCTGAACAGGGAGCCCGATGCAGGACCCTGGGATCACAACCTGAGCCGAAGGCAGAAGCTTAACAGACTGAGTCACCCAGGCATCCCCCAAATTCTTATTTACTTATTCATTTATTTATTTTTAAGTAATCTCTATACCCCATGTGGGGCTCAAATCTATGACCATGAGATTAAGAGTTGCACACTCTACTAACAGAGACAGCCAGGTGCCCCCAAAATAAGAGTTCTTGTTACAAATAAATGTGTAATGTATCTGACTGGTCTTCCTACAAGACTGATCTCATTAATACATGTTTTAATCAAACTTTCATATATTTATACTCTAAAGATCACTTAACATTATAGCATTTAGCCTTAAATTAGTCATAAAAGAGTATGAGACTCACCTTGATAGTGCCGCCAACAACTTCCATTACCTTGCCTCGATACCACATAGTATCTGATCCTCTTACTGCACAGGCTTCTCCCTTTTTCCAGAAATAAGGCTCCAAAAGACCAAGGCATTTTAAATTACTTTGAATTTCATTCATCATTTTTATTAGCTCGAATTCTGAAGAAATTATTTAAAAAAGAGAGAATTTAGGAAGAATTTACTACCATTTTCAATACGAAATCATCAATAACCTTTAATAATTTCACCACCTCGACAACAGCATAAGGAATTAATAGAGCTTTAATAAAGATCTAATTCAGTCAGGGCGACTAGGTGGTTCAGTTGGTCATCTGACCAAGAGTCATCTGACTCTTGGTGTAGGCTCAGGTCATGATCTCATGGGTCGTGAGATTGAGCCCTGCCTCGGGTTTCACGATACTACATAGTCTCCCTGAGATTCTCTCTCCCTCTGCGCCTCCCCCCATGTGCACACATGCACTTTCTCCCTCTCTAAAATAAATAAATCTTTTTAAAAAAAATCTAATTCAGGGGTGCCTGGGTGGCTCAGTCATTAAGCGTCTGCCTTTGGCTCGGGTCATGGTCCCAGGGTCCTGGGATCGAGCCCCACATCAGCCTCCCTGCTTGGCGGGAAGCCTGCTTCTCCCTCTCCCACTCCCCCTGCTTTTGTTCCTTCTCTCGCTGTATCTCTCTCTGTCAAATAAATAAATAAAGTCTTAAAAAAAAAAATCTAATTCAGTCAGTAGCTTCTATATGTTTCAAAACATACTACTACTAACATGTAAATAACTATTCTGATCTCTGATTATAAATGCAAGCATTATTTTGGGAGTAAAGCATCGTTAAAAGCTCTAAGCACATACCAGATGGCCTAATATAAAAGAACTACCACTTTAAGATTATGCCATTTTGCCAGCATACCTAAGTAAAATAGAACACAAGTCAGGTGTTACTTGATGCTTAGATAGATACAGCATAATGCTGGGATATAAAATTAAAATTCTAATGTTGCTACTTACTGCTAATTGGATCATCATTCCCATAGTAAATACAAACCCCATAATAGATACCACTGAAGACAAGGGGTGGGGTCAATTACCATAACAGTTCTACCACTTTAGTTGTGTGATTTTGGATTGTTCCTTTACTTCCATAAGCTTCAGGTTATTCTATAAACCTGGTATAATAGAACTTATCTCCATTATCAATATTGCGGGGGATTAAATGTAAAACATCCTGAACACTGCCTGACAACATAAGAGTCAACCAGTTTTAGCTATCACTATATAAAGGTCAAGAAAATTTCTGGATTAAGTACTACTTCAAGAGGTCTCAACCACTGTTCACTTCTAGAATAGCCAATTGCACAGATTTATTTTTGAATTAAGAAACAGTATTTAGGAGGTCAACAAATGAGACAAAAATTTCAACAAATTCACAGCCATCTATCCATAGGTGGACTTACTATGGAGTTAATGGAGCTTTAAGACCCACGAGTGCTAGAGTTACTGTCAGTTATAAAGTATTCTAGACACACCCAGGTTGTAGTAAGGAGATACTTGTACATAAATCCCAGGAAGGACTTGAATATTCTCAAAGGGCCCCACACTCCAGACAGTCACATTCCTCATTCTAAAGGAATATAAACTTCTGTATCTTTTTTCTTAGAGAGCCTCCAAACTTGTATTAAGTGCCTGGTCTTACAACCCTGGAACCACCTCCATCCTTACCTTAGGCCCAGTGTCTATTCCCATAAATGATTTTTCATTTCAATAAATGATTTTTGTGTGAAAAGCACTTTGCTTGAGTTATTTCATTTAACCTCACAACAAACCTGTGAAAATGAGGTTAAATCTTGCCCAAGGTATTTCAACCTATACCTTACTAGAGCACTGGAGCTGCTAGCTACTCCTTTTACTGATTAATTCTACATAACATAAAACATATTACCTGACAATTTAGGTACTACAAATATAGTTCCATCGTTGCCAATGCAGCTGACAATTGCCTCAAATACTTTCATGTTAGGAATAGCTGGTGGTTTATAGCATCCAGTGGTTCTTGGTTCTGGAATTTTCTGCTGAAATTCAGACACCCTGTATTCACTAATAACATCAGCAGCTTTTTTGTCAGGGTCAAAGTTAATCTTAATACACTTAGTAATCATTGAATCTTCTGGTTCCAAGGGGATTTCCAGAGACTTCTCAGATGATGAATGACTGTTATTTAATTTTTTAATTCTGTAACATCCAAAAAATATTATATCTAAATATAAGCAAATAAAAACATTCTGTAGAAAACAATATAAAAACAGCCCTTCAAATATACTGGAAATTTAAGGAATATATTTGCTCTAGTCTAGGATATATTAGTCTAGTTTGTTACATAAAAATGACCATAATTTAGGTTATAATAAAAATTATTTTAAAATGTAAATGAGCTTGACGAGAAAAAGAGTAATAAATTTCACTTAAATGTTTTAAATTACTATCTCATATTTACATGTTACTCTGTCTTAAAATCTCATAATAAGTGTATCACCAGTATTGTATAATTAACTAGATGTTAAAGGGAAATACAGCATCTTCAGGTTGATTTTAATGTAGTCCACAGATAGAACATGCACATGTTCTGTCAAATTAATACAAGTCCCTTAAAAAATACAGTACTATTGAGAAAGTGGTAATATGTTATATTCATTTTTTTTTAACTTCCTGTCATTCCCTTCCAGTTAAAAAAAAAAGTTATGCCTACTATAAAAAAAATCCTAGGAGATATTAATATTGTTTATTTTAGTAGAATTATAGCAGACTTTTGTTTCTTCTACTTTCTTGTATTTTCTTTCAAAAGGAGATAAGCATTTATGAAATAGCTACATAATTCTTCAACTAAGATCGTTCCCACTTGGTGCCCAGCCTTGAGATAGCTAGTAGTTTTAGTGCTCTAAAAGCAGTAAAGAACATCACAGTGGCAGATGTTAACAGTATTACCTTGCCTAGCATTTTTCATTTTAACATTTATCAAGGAATTGCTTTAGCCTAAAGCCAGTGAACCTGAAAAGAGACACATGCAGGACATCTATACACAGAGCATAGCCAAATGCCAATACCTAGGCAGTTAAGCCAGCATCTACCATGCTTAGCCAACTACTTCATTTCCCATTTTACTTCTGATTTCTCATTCTCCTTCCATTCCATCAGGATTGCAGTCCTAGTCCATACAAGGTAATATATAATAATGCAAGATAAAAAGAGAAATCTGGCCATGTATGGTACAAAGTGGCTACTTGGAATATGTGTTTGCAATTCCAATATACCTTACATCCAGAAGGAAAGAAATAAGAAGAGGAAGCTAGGGCTATAGCAATATCCTAATCCTTTGCCCCTTGGACAAATGGTACCTTAAACCACAAACTTAGTACCTGAAAGGTCTTTAAATGTAAATATTATTCATTACTTTTCTGCTATCCATTTCTGTTTCACATAAACACATTTTAGTATATACCTACCACAGTTTCCAACATAAAGCTTAAAGATTTATGTCCAAGCAAATGGTGTCAGAGGGCTCAGATCTGGTAACCACTATGCAATTATCTTTTCCTTTGGTTTAGAGTATAAATGCCAAAGCAAAAGGGAAAATACAAAAGCAAAAATGTCAGTAGGGATTTAAATATACAAGAGCTAATGTGCTTGAATAAAGAAATTAGTAATCCTGAATGAATTTCTCAACTGTCTCCTCAAGGTTAGTTTATAAATCATTAAGAGGAAACAAGGTGAAATTCAGGTTTGAAAGCACACAGATATGAAAACGAACATAGGCAAATAAGAAGCCTTCATTATAAACTGATGTTAAAAAAAAAAGTCTATACCTCCTTTCTCTCAAAGCCAAACCCTTTTTAATCAAATATTTAGAAACATCGACACGTTCTCCTTTTTCATCTCTGCAGAAAATTTTCACAGGTAATGGCCATGTTGTATTGTTTTCCTGCAGTGATTTAAGAGCAGAGTAAATATGAAACACTAAAAGGAAACCTTCTTATAAACAACATACTTTTTACAGGCATTTCCTCCACATTTATCCAAGCCAGAAAAATAAATTTCCAGTCAAGTAATTTTGATATCTTATCAGAAAGAAAAAACATGGAAGAGAGTCAAGGGGGACAATTAGTTTGTGAAATATGTCAGGAAGACTTCTCTGTCAAGGTGAAACTTACCAAAAGGGTGGATGTGTGTAGGGGAAGGTCAACTGAAAATTTTTTTTTCAGCCCACAATGGGCTGGGGAAACATCGGTTACAAATTTCTCTATTATCCTAAACTCTTGGCACATTACAGAATTGAAATGTATTTTCCCAGGTGTGTCTTGTGTGTGTGTGAAAAGAAAGGAAGGAACTGCAAGACCTATATTCTGCTTCAAATGGGATTATGAAAATGGAGAAGGTACACAAAGAAAAAGTAACATGGACAAATTACTTATCCAAGAAAATTGTAATCATTAATGCAATAAAAAGTATCAAATTGGAGTAAAAAAAAGAATATTTTTAAGTGTTCTGAAAAAATATATCCTCTTCTCAAACCCATACTCCTACAAACACACATTTTTTTTATGACATAACAATCAATATGATTTCACTAGAAGCCTAACTTCTCAGTTTGTAAAGAATAGCAAAAGGCTTCTGCAATGCACTCTAGCATACATACATTCTGTTTTTTTTAACATGCAAATTATCAACTCAAGATTATTACTTTAGAAATGTTTTGATTAATTCATACAATCATTATGGGACATCTATTATCAAAAACAGGTGTTTTATAACAAAATAAGACCAAAAAAAAGGGCTGCCAAAAAAATCCAAAGAGTTTGCTGTTATTTTCTCAACAATAAAATAAATTATAGAAAACATCAATGAAATATTCATTACATATCTATTGTAATTGTTTACCCCACTACACACCTGTAAGATTATAGTTGCTACAGCTCCAGTCAGGTACAATGAAAGACAGTCACAAGCTGTAGCTGTCCACTTGTCACTCCCACCAGTTGGTCTATAACAACAACAGACAACTTGTTTTGTAACAAACAGCATAACATATAGAAATATAAAAGAACCACTATATGTATACAGTCATATATATATGAACAAACTACATATGTAGCAAGAAATCAGTTGAACTTTTTGTTAACATGACTTCGTGTTATTTTCACAATTTTCTTCTGTGTTTTCATATCCTTTTGTTCTTTCCTCTATTCTACTTATGGACCATATCATATGCTAACTTATATATAATTGTTCAGCTATACTGAGAAACCTTAAAAAAGGTACATTTTAAGTATTTTTTTTTACATAAAATGTACATTTCATACATGCTGACTAGACTATAAAACTCAGAGAGCAGGGATTATAAATATTGACAGATCAATGAAAAGCTGAGTATTCAGTTTCATCATCTATTTTAGTTTGCAGAACTGAAACTGAGTGACTTTCTAACCATCAAATCCACCTCCAAAGAATAAGAACTAATACCACTAAAGAGATTACAAGTATCATAATGCAGGCTCTGAATGCTCTCTAGACATGGTTTCTAGATCTGGAGTTTCATTGCAGCTGACCCACTGAGTAAATAACCAGTCTGGCCAATCTTTTCACGTTAAATGGTTTATATGAATGAACTAACAAAATCAACTGTGCATGTAGTTTGACCAAGTAGGATTCAGTAAATGTGCTACACTTATTATTTATTAAGAAGCCCAAACAGTGTTCTTATGATTTAAGAAGCTTAAATTGTCAGTGACTCCTAGAATGTTTTTTTTATTATGAGGGTATTCAGATAAAAATTAGTGTCAACAATAAGATTCTACCAGATCTACTATGAATATACGTTTTGTAACTTTTAAACATCTTTTTTTGACGATTTTATTTATTTGTCAGAGAGAGAGCACAATCAGGTGGAGTGGCAGGTAGAGGGAGAAGCAGGGTCCCTGCTGAGCAGGGAGCCCGATGCGGGGCTCGATTCCAGGACCCTGGGATTGTGACCTGAGCCAAAGGCAGATGCCTAAACAACTGAACCACCCAGGCGTCCCTAACTTTTAAACATCTGAAAGTACTAACAACATTTAAAAAAAATCTTTAGTCTGTATTCATAAAACTGTATGTTTCAGTTGGGAAAAATGAAAATGGAAATGGATAGTGGTAAAGGTTGCACAATATTCTGAATGTACTTAATACCACTGAAATACACATTAAAAATGGCAAATTGTATGTTACGTAAATTTTCCTAAAATAAGAGATTTCTCAGAAGAGTGGTAATAACAGTAATTAGAGCTCCAATTCTCAATTCAGACCTTGTTTATAATCCTAGCTCAACAGTTAACAGATGCATTACTGTGGATAATTATTTGACCTCTTGAAGACTCAATTTCCTTATCTATAAATAATACCTTATCTATAGCTTTCCTTATCTATAAATAATACCTTATCTATAAATAATACCTTATCTATAGCTTTAAGGTTTATTATGAGGATTAATTAAAGTAATGCCTATAAGGTAATTAATACAGGGTCCAGAAGTAGTTAAGGTTATTAGATTCTTGAAATAATGGTATTCCATTAGAGTCCAAAAGCTGTAATCCAAGGTGTGTACAGGAACACATTCTCTACATTATTGGATACAATTAAAGGACTTATAGAACTCTGTTCAATTGTTCTGATTGAACTGTTCAAGGTAGAAGTGAAAACTAGGATAAGATTTTTATAGTATGTCAGCTGGAGATTTCCATTCCGGGGCATTAAATTCTTTCAATTGATAGAACAAATTTGTAGATATGGTCCCACAGTCACTATTAGTAATCACAGACAGTGGGAGAGGTACCTGTAAGATTAGAGAAATGTTCTGTGCAAACAGGTGGATTATGGAAACTACTACTATAAGCTCTTCAAGGACATTAAATAAATGGTTTACCAGTAATTAGAACAGAAAGGGGTCACTAGAACAAAGTATCCCATTGGGGAGACCAATCTTAATGCCATGTAAGGAAATACTAGTGGCTGAAGCTGCCTGATAAAGAAACAACCTCCTTTGAGAGATACGCTTCACAGCACTGAAGTCAGAAGGTCTTGAATGTTCATTTATTAGGGCTGGTATACAAAGAATTACTGTCATGATGCTTCTAATATCTTTGAGTTCCAAGTCTAAGATTCTATAATTCTTTTATTTTTATTAAAGTATAATTAACATACAATGTTATTCTAGTTTCAAGTGTACAACATATTGATTCAATAATTCCATACATTGCTCAGTGCTCATGAGTGTAAATTTGTCACCATACAACATTATCATAACATTATTGACTATATTCCCTATGCTGACAACTTTTCATCTCCATGACTTATTTATTTTATAATGGTAAGTTTGTACCTCCTAATCCCCTCTATAAAATTCTTGTTACAAAGAATTATATTTCCATGGATTTCTCAATGGAGAAAGGTCCCCTAGAAGCAGGAAATCGCCACTTCTGTACTTTTCAAACAGAAATCCAATAATAGCTGTCCAATTTCCTTAGCACCATTTATTGAAGAGACTGTCCTTTTCCCATTGCATATTTTTTCCTGCTTTGTCAAAGATTATTTGACCATAGAGTTGAGGGTCCATATCTGGGTTCTCTATTCTGTTCCAGTGGTCTATATGTCTGCTTTTGTGTCAGTACCATGCTGTCTTGGTGATCACTGCTTTGTAATACAGCTTGAAATCAGGCAACATGATGCCCCCAGCTTTGTTGTTCTTTTTCAACATTTCCTTGGTGATTCAGGGTCTTTTCTGATTCCATACAAATTTTAGGATTGTTTGTACCAGCCCTTTGAAGAATATCATTGGAATTTTGATTGGGATGGCGTTGAAGGTATAGATTGCTCTGGACAGCAGAGACATTTTAACAATGTTTATTCTTC